CCCCAAAACCCCAAAACCCCAAAACCCCAATTTATACTTGGATGTTGAAAAGTCCAGAATAATTCTATCTTCAGTAAAACTATGTAAATCAGGAATTTGAGTGGCTTCAAGTTCCTGATGAGGCTTAGGTCGTTTAGATAATTTAGCGATTGAAATTTGGAGATTTTTGTGGGTTATGAAACCTTTGTAGGGATTACTGGTACTTGAGTCATAATTATAGGAGGTTTAGAGGAATTTTTAGATGACATGGCTATGGGATACTGATATCGATGAACATTTTGGCTTTAAAATACATTTATCAAAGTTAGCTGAATTAGATAGGACATAATTTGTTATGTTATCTTCCAATTTTTAGCCTCACAATTCCCATAGGGTCAAATAAATGTTGGGCTGAAGAGCTTACATGAATCCTAAAATTTCCCATAAAAACACTTAACAATGCCCTTGTAAGACACTAGCATGCCTAAAAATATCGATAAAAGCTTAAAATTGGTTTAATACTTCCCAAGAGTCTTTCTAAACTTAGTTCAGGTAATTTTGGAAATTTCGAACTAAAAATTTCTAACAGCTTTTCATAAAATCACTGAAATTTAAGAATAATGGATTTAGTGAATTACAAACTTTCTAGATTCAGAAAGAATTTTGAAGGATACAAGATAATTGAAGATAATTAGGTTAGAAAAAGAGGTTGCAATGGCATAAGCAGCTTTCAGGAGTTTAATAGAGTTAGTAAATGTTATAGGAAGTGGATGATAAGACAGTTAAGGAAATTTAACCGATTCTAAACAGAGATACAAGAAAATACTATATATTAGCCTTTTGAGGGTCTCAAGCTATACATTTTATTAGTTGAAATACAAAAATTCTATCTTGAAAAACTTACATTCAAAAGTCTCAAAAAATATCCTCAGCATCCCTAAATCAGATTCCCACCTCTCCAACATACCGTCCTTCTCTTCACCTCAAATCCCTCAAACCCCCCAAATCCCCTCTCCCATCTCCCCCTAAAACCCCTCAAACCTCCCTCCCCTCTCTCCAAAACTTCCTATCAACCCAAAATTTCCCTAAAAATTCATCCAAATCCCATATATAAACTTTTAATTATTTATTATTTATAAAATTAAATATGTCTTCCATAGACAGAGAGCACAACAAGTCAAAGCTAAGAAAGAACAAGAGGAAGAAAGCCACAAACTCCATCCCTGTGAGCCTTGTAGGCAGCCCCTACAGCTCCAAGACTAGGCTTGGAGCTGAGGACGCTCTGTAAGTCACCAGCTAACAGCTGGGACTTTAGTTTCCTCGAATCCTTCCTGGTTTTTATCCCCAGGATCTGGGGTTAAGACTCGTGAATTAGCATCCCCTTTTGGTAGCCTGGGTTTTTGGGTATTTACAAGGTTCTAAGAGTGAAATTAGTGTTTAGAATTCAGAGAGCCATATGGAGTCTAATTATTTAGAAGTTTTAACCTCACAGACCAGGATAAGTTGCTATCAAAACTTATGAAGAAGTCCTTTAGAGACGGTCAGCCTTCGACAATTGATTTCAAAAGAGTCACATCGTTAAGTAAGTTTCTTGGGGTTATCCCTAAGCAAATTCCCCAAATTTTGCTTTAACCACTCTTAAAGCAATCATCACTAGATGGTTTGATGAGTATCGGAAAGTTTATATTAAGTTTTATTTCTTAGATTTATGTTTCCATAGAAGATTGTGAGCAAAAATATAACAGACTAGAACTGAAAAGCTCATACCCAAAAGGAAAAGACCTGAAGACTAAGAGCTTTATTGATAATATTGACAACAAGTCAGCCGCTAAGAAGAACCTAGGTTATAAGAATATAAAATAAGCATGTGAGACATAAGTCTGATGGATATAATATCCCTCTTACTTACTCTAGCAACTTTACGAAATACATCAGACATCCAAAGAGGTCCAAAGTGAAATCTAATAAGCGATCTGGATCTCGAGCTGATAGTGAAAACTCTAATATAGTCACCTCGGTACAAATCCTACATCCGAATAAGACTAAGCTTTTAGGTAAGAAGGATACCTCTATTGGAGATTTTAACAAAACTGCTTCTAAGAGATCTCCTTCTATTACGATGCTAAAGAAATAAAAAGGTGATTTCTAAGACTCATGCTCATAATTCTCCGCTGTTAAGATCATCAGAAAGCCTCCATTTCAGATCAAAGAGCAAATCAAAGCTAAACAAGAAGGTCTCACAGATCACTACTGCTCATGGAGATAGAACCCTTGAGTCTCTTTCAAATAATCATCCAAAGACTATCAAGTCAGGTGTTTTTAAAGCTCGCAAAAAGGCTATGATAGCTAAATTTTGAAAGAAGAATTTCCCTAGCTCAAAGAATTCCTCACCAAAGAGCTCTAAGTTATGTAAGCACTAGGATAGCATCAGAAATTTGTAGCTTACCTTTAACTCTGTTATTTACACAATTTTGTTCCATTCTTCATACTCCTCATCAATTTTTAAGACAAAGACCAATCACTCAGAATCTACAATATTCACCGTTTTCATGTTCTTTGCTGATAAGTTAATGGACTAATCTTGACTATAGGGAGTCATTCAAAAAGTGAAAAGCCTACGACGAAAAAGAGGATCAAAAAGATGGTATCATCTAGAGGAACCTCAATAAATGATAGAGAAACTCCACCATTCAATAATAAAGACTTTAAGAAACCTTTGATAAAAAAGATGAACAAGCATAATAAAATTAGTGCTTTCATTGGGCATGAAACTCAAGCACAAGCCCCTTCTCAGTTCAATGCAAGCAAACTTTTGGGACAAGACAAGAAGCCTATGCAGATATTTATGATGCCTGGTTCTGAGAGACACACTTGCTCTACAGCAAAAAGTAATTATGTGAAGTTCAGAGACACTAAACTGAAATCTAAACTAATCAAACATATGCCAGCGAACAGGTCTACTGATCTGAAACTTCAGTTAGACAAGGGAATAGAAAGGCCTCGTGGACAAGAATACAAGAAGACTAAATTCATTATTCCAAAGAATCTCAGCAGGGAGACATCAGAGGAGAAAGAAACTCTTTCGAAGTATCTCAAAGAGAACCCAAATGTTCAGAGTTGTACTATTCATATTAATGAATTACTAAATAGTGGGATCTACAAATAAACCGAGAAGCACTCAGAAATCTATGTCAATAAGCAAGGAATCCAGCTTGTCCAGGATCATTAGACGTCCGAGCTCTAAGAAAACTAGCATTAGTGTAATATATTTTGATTTACATTTTAGAAGGTCAATTCCTCCCTTGAGAGGCCACAGAAAGAAGGCTTAATAATGAACCGTAGCCACATAAAAAATCCAAAGACCAGTCAGAGTAACTATAGTGAGATTATGACTGGATTTGATAAACCTAACCTGAAGAAGACCCAGGTGTACCTCATGAAGAAAGTAAGCAAAGAGAGGTATATTCCCTCATTCATCACACAGAGAATTTTAAATAAGAAAAGTACTGCTTCCAATAAATATACAATTCTGAAATCAAAGAAACATCTCAATACAGAAATGAGGCACAAGAATAAATCCCAACAGATTTCTCCGTATTCCAAAGGCAAGTTATATAATTACCAACCTGTGGCAACAAAAATGGAATCAAAAAGACAGAAATCAGGGAAGCATAGTCAGAAGAGTACCCCTAAGAAGTGAACGTTCCTCTTCCAATCTGTTGCTTCGATCATTTCTAATCAGGAAGTTAAGCCAAAGATTACCATGAACGTGAGCATTGATCTGAGCCAGAACCAGAAACAGGATGTCAACCTAATAGAGAGGAATTAGTAAATCATACCATTGAATATTATAGCTTCCAAAATATATCTGCTAGAAGAAAGCAGGACAAAAGTAACCATTAGCTTAACGATTCGTTATAGAGTCTTTAGGGAAGACTTTTAAAGGACAAAAGAACCTTAAGCCTTTGGTCATAGAAGAGGGCACTGACAAAGATGATAGCAGCACAAAGGTAATGCATCTCACTAACTTTCAGCGAAAATCATACTCAAAATATCCTAAACAACTGCCTCAAAGCAAAGAGACGAAGGTTATGAAGAAATTGCCCGACTCTCAAAATAGAGCCAAGAAGAAGAGTGAGCAAAATTACCAGAAATACAACAAGCCTTTAATAAAACCAATAGAGCAGACCTGTCCAGGGGAGGATAAAGTGATCAAAGATAATACCAGTTTTGTCAAAATAGAGAAGCCATCTGATGAAGAGAAGTATTCAGACATCCTTGATTCCTTCAACTTTGATGATGTCTCTCTTAATGCTTCAAAAGCTAAAGGAGAAAATAAGAAATTTGATGAAGAGGAGGTAAAACTTGAAATTCCTCAGAAAACGATTGAGAGAATAGATACTGAAGGAACTAATATATCGGCTTTGAATCTTTCCCCTAGATCTAAGGCGAATAAGAAGCTTAAGAAATTGATTAGAACCACGTTTGCTCGGACTAACAAAGCACCTGACACTACTAGTGAGTTTTATAAAGTAGGAAAAGTCCTTGGAAGGGGTGCTTTTGGTAAGGTAAACCTCACCATCCATCGACTCACAGAAGAAATGGTCGCCATTAAAAGTCTCAATAAAGAGTTCCTGACTGACGAAGTTAGTAGAAAGAAGGTTATGAAGGAGGTGAAAATTCTTAAGAAAATGAGGCATAAAAATATCATCCAATTGCTTGATACATTTGAAACTCAAAAGCATATCATTTTTGTCATGGAGCTATGCTCAGGTGGGGACTTGCTTAACTATGTCAGAAAAAGGAGAAAACTGACAGAGGATTATGCAAAAGCGATGTTTAAGCAAATATTAGAGGCTCTCCAATACTGCCATCGCTTGAATATTCTACATAGGGATATTAAGCTTGACAATATTATTCTTGATTCTCAAGGTATTATCAAGGTAGGAGATTTCGGAGTCTCAAAAATTATTGATCCCACACAAGTGATGTATGATCAATGTGGAACTCCAGCATACATTGCTCCAGAAGTACTCAGAGACAAAGGGTACCGTGGATTTGGCATTGATATATGGAGTGCAGGAGTAGTACTCTATTCCATGCTTTACGGTACAGTTCCATTCAGAGCCCAGAATATGAACGATTTGCATGAAATGATTATAAAAGCCAAATATACTCTTAAACCAGAGATTAGTGAAGAGGCAAGGGACCTTCTCAAGAAAATTCTTGAGGTTGACCCAAAGAAAAGACTCACCATTCCTCAAATCTTGGATCACTCATGGTTCAGTGACTGAAATGAGAACCTAGAGATTTTTACTGACATTGAGAAAGAGAAGATCAAGCAAGAATTCTCTTATAATAACATCAAGAAGGAGTATAAAAATAGCGAGACTGATGTTTCATGTGATTTTACAGAGCATCATCTAGAGACATGAGATAATGACGCGCTCAGAAACTTAACTACTAAATCAATCATCCTAGCTCCGTTCAACAGCACGACATCTGAGGTTCCGTCTGAAGAAGCCAAGGAGATCGAAGAACTACGGCGTGATAGAAAAGTGCTGAAATTCAATGCAAAATGAAGGGATTTCAACCGTCAATATGAGATGAACAACAACTGTGAGCTCGACAATGGAGTCTACAACAAATTCATGGAAAGTTCAAGAGCAAGCTTACATTTTACTGATAGCCAAAATGACGGACTTACTGGAGGGAACTCCGTCGAGCTCTCATTCAATAAGAATAAAGATGCCGAAGAGTTTGAAGATGAAGATGACATGGATAACCAAATAGAACTAGAAATAAAAGACCAACAGAATAAAAAGGATAAAGGAGAACTATCTGAATTTGAACTTATAACCCAAGAAGCTGAAAGTACGTCAAGTAATTTATGATTTAGACAACCAACTTGATAAGGAAGAGATAGACGACTTCCTTGTTGAAGAAGTCTCTAATTATGGCTATCCGGAGAGCTTTATCATAGACTCACTACAAAAGAACGAGATTAACTATGCGACAGCAAGTTATTACATCTTAAAGAAGCAATTGGCTATTAATAAGAAGCACCCTTTAGTACTGGTTAAAGAGATGAGTGCTAAGATTAATGAATAAAATAATTTTATTATATATTCTCAACTAGCTAACATCATTCTGGGGTTTTGGGGTTTTGGGGTTTTGGGGTTTTGGGG